AGCTAGATTGTCAAGATGGGTGGGATGGGTGCCTGTTTCTGGTACCCTGATGACAGAAATGTAGACATACCCAACTAGCCTTTAGAGCAGCAACACTAACTGGTATTCAACTTACTGCCTGCCCTGGAGGCTCATGGGAAATCTGTAACAGGACAGTGGCTAGGAGTCTCCTTCCAAGAGGATCTTGGAGGCTATTCTAGGTAACACCTGTCTGAAGAGGCTCTCTGAAAGCAGCCTCGGGGAGAAGTTACAGTGATAAATGCCTCCATGCTGGCTCTACTAGGAGCCATTAGAAGGGACCTACCTCCTTAGCCAAGTAGCTTCCTCTCTGTGGTGTGAATGTGGTTTGCATGGGGTCATTAAATAAACAAGTGCTGACGATTTTGCATATGTCCTCAGTGATATTTATTATACCTTCTTCAAGAAACTGGAGAGCCATGTTTATTTAAATCAGTGGAATCCATATGTTCCCTAAGCTCAATGCAAACACGCATAATGCCCACAAGCAGCCAGAGCACTGCCTGAAGTGACCAGTTGGCTCAATCTGTCATGGTCTGTGCTCTCCAGAGGAACAACAGCTGCAGGACTCTTATTTTTGTGATGTGGAGCATGTCTGGGTGTGTGGCAGGGGGAACTGAAATGTCTTCTGCTGACTTTTTATACCTTCAGATTTTTTTCATCGCTCATTTTGGAAAAGGGAAGCCCTCACTGGGGCCAAATTTATAGGTTTTTCTGTAAATGAGTTTTGAGTGTTTTTTTTTCCCCAAACTCCGCTGGTGACTGACTTCCAGTGGTGGGAAGGTAACATGGCTGAATTTCTCACACTGAAAAAGGAGATTCCTAGCGAGGTTCATGTTTAGGTGGGAAGATTTTTCTCAGTGGCGGATACTAGGATGCTCCCAGGAGACTTAATCGGCCTTCAAACCACAGGATAAATGGTGAGGAAGCTTCAGGCTTTGAGGACCTGCTACCTGGAGCTGCAATTTAATTTAGGGGGCTGTAAATATCTCTGGTCAACTCTCCTCTGGGAAACTGGACTTTAATCCTCTCTGCTTATATATTAATTATCATTTGATCTTCTGTTTTATTTTCTTTGTCTCTTATTGTTATTTTAAGAAATTATTTTAAGAATCTTAATTAAAAAAAAATTCTAGTTTAGTCACTTTAAAGCTAGCTCAGTTCAGGGATCCAGAAGCCCCAGGGCAAAGCAATCATGATTTAAGACAAACTTCTTTTCCTATTCCAAATTTGTATCTGTGGGCTCGTTTCTTATGCCAGTGGCAGTAGGGAGTACAGTATTTACTGTAGAATTAGAAACGGTTGTTGCTGCTTCCCAAAGATTGGTGTGAAAGGCACGGACTGCAAGTCTTGGCTTTGCAAATACACTTGGCCATCGGGCTCCTTTGGAAATTGTCGTGAGGCTTCTGATCCTGAGGTTTCACGGCCACCTTCTGAAGTCCCTGTCAGAAGTACTCTCTCTCGTGCCTGCACACTTGTAGTTAGTAGCCAGATTCCCTGGCAGCTGGTTGTGGACTCCTAGGTGGGTAGGCAGGAGATCTTTGAGAGCTGGGGGAGTTTTGTGACTGCAGTAGGAAGAGGTGAGGACTGAGAAACTGCTCTCCATATGGTCTGTGCTGGGCACACCTGTTGACTCTGTGGGTTCTAAGGAAGTCCAGACATCGGAGGCTGATACCCTCTGCTCACAGCACCTCCCCCAAGCCCTCTTTGTTCATTGATTCAAAAACAACAGGAGGCAGGAAGTCATCACTTTGACAAGATCCTGGAAATGCCCAGCTGGCCTCTTGGCAGCCAAGTGTTCCATGTGTCCACTTCCTGGGAGGGGGTGGACTCGGATAGGAGTCCTCTGGGCCCTTCCCCAGAAGCATACATGCAAATCAGAGGGGGTGAGCTGTGGACCTGTCTTTGATGTGGGCCTGTGGGATTGAGGTTTTCTTGTCCTCCAGCTGAATTAGAAGTGTGACCCCCAAATAAGCCTGTCCCCTGAGTTTCTCCCCAGTGCATAATGCCTCAGGCCATACCCTATGCCTAAGAAGAGCTGGAAACCTGATTGCAGACCAGCAGAGCCCGAACGTCGTGGGTGTGAACAAAGCCAATGTGGCTGTGGGTGACCAAGAATGAACGAGTAGAGTATGGGAGCACAGGTGACCTCGCTCTCTGCCACGTCAGGCCACACCTGGGTTCTGGAGCCGACGGTGGGCATCAGTTATCATGAGGGGAAGTGGCACATGGGAACCAGGAGGGGGGGCTCCCAGAAGGAGGGTTGGAAGGATTCGGAACAGGTCATCAAGAAATAGCTGGAAGGATGGGATGTTCATTCAGACTCCACAGGGGACCTGGTGTCTGTCTTCAGATGCTGCTACTAACACTGATGATAATATTAGCTCACCTTTATTTAATGCATCCTGTGTGCAAGCTCTGTTTGAACCTTCCCTTACCGGTTATGTATCTTTATGATCCTCACCGCATGGATGAGAAGGCTGTAGGTGGATTACGAATGGCAAATTTCACCAGAAGGCAATGCAAGGAAAAATGGTGCTTGTTATGATGTGGCAGGTCCAGGAGGTGGAAGAGCTTCCTGACACTGTAGCTCCCCAGAGGAAGGTGGAAGGTGGCTCCCCTCCCTCCACCACTTCCACCTTCCTCTGGGGAAAGAATATGTACCATAGGGGGACATGGCTTTGGGAGCATCCGTGTATTTTTGCTGTGAATCCTCACACCTGCTGTGGGAGAGATGAGTTACTGAGGCCCAGGGGTGTTAAATAAATCATCTGAGACCTTTCCACCAGTAAGCGACAGCCCAGATTTAAATGTAGGTATTTTTGGCACTTGAGTCCATTGTTAATGCTACATATAGGAATGCCTGCTTACAGGTAGTCTCAGGGCACTTGGCACCAGGCTGGGTCTCTCTGCTCCACACTCTGGCTTCAGTCTCAATTTCACAAGTTGTAACTGTTCCGTTGCTTGTCTCTCCCACTAGATGCCAGATGTATGTGGGCGGGGGCCACAGCTTATGCTGTTCAGAGCTCTGTTCATAGTGTCGGGGGATATTTGAATGAATGAATGAATGAATGAATACCAATACAGATTCCTCACTATGATAAGGGAGATTAAAAAGAAGATAATAAATCTCCTATTAGGACATTAGAGGGAGAATCTTATCTTATCCCTTATCTCCCTTAGAGGGAGAGAATCTTACCATCTTATCTCCCTTAAAGGGAGATCAGGAATGAATTATCAGTAGTTCTAACCTTGGCAGAGCTTCAGAATCACCTAAAGGACTTTTAAAATACAGATTCTTAGGCCCACATCACCCCGCCCCCATCAGAACTCTCTGATAGCCTGGGCATCTGCGTTGTGCATCACTCCCTGGTCAGTTCCGCTATTTGGCCAGGTGAGGAAGCCCCCTTGGATGCATCTGAGTCTGGGGTTCTCTGCATTACGTGTTCTGTAACACTCCCTTTCTTGCTTCGTGCTGCCTCTCCCTGCCTGCTGGCATCAAGGCCAGGCTGTGTGTGTGTGTGTGTGTGTGTGTGTGTGTGTGTGTGTGTGCCTGGAGCATGGATGGAGGTCTGTGCTGGGTCAGGCACGGGTTCTTATCAGCTGGGTATTTACTGAACAAAGTTCAGCCAGGGCAGCACTATGGTTCCGGGTTTAATAGATATCCAGACTTCCAGGCTTTTGACTCAGAGCCCACGTCCCTGGGGCCCTTATCGGTGGATGATAATGGACTCCCTGTGCGAGCCCCCAGGGCCGATGGTACTCACTTTTCTTGTCGGACCCAGGTCTGCCCTTGAGAGGCCCAGGGCCCTAGGCTGTGGGCTGTCTGGGTGGGCAGAGTCACTGCCCAGCCATGACTGCTCTGGCTTGCTCTCCCCGGCCAGGATGTACCCTGTTCCAGCTCAGTGCTTTCATTTCCCAGCTTTGATGACAAAAGGCACAGGGAACCTCTCAGCAGCAAGGCTGGACAGCTCTGGTCCTAAGTGCGTAGATCACCATCAAGTACTTGTCCTGGGATCCACAGAGGCCCTGGGAACAATTCCCCACAGCCCAGGAGAGGTGAAGGGAAGGTGAATGCCAGCACATTTCACATAATGAACCAAATAATCAACAAATACCCGACTGAGCTTGCTATGGACATGCTACTGGGGAAGGTATAGAGAAATGAGGTATCATATCTCACCTTGACAGGTTTAGGATCTAATTAGAGGCATAAGAAATATACATCAAAAGGATTATTAATTACAGAGAGGACTGCAAATTTATTAAATGCTCACTCTGTACCTGATTTTTATACTGAGTATATGCTGTGCTTCTCATTTCCTAGGCCAGAGTCTCCTTAGGACATTCCTTTGCTAAGAAATTGCACTGAGAGGTGTTAATGACTTGCCCAGGGTCACTTGGCTAGAATGTGGCAGAGGCAGATGTGGCACCTGTGTCCTCTGATTCAGAGTGCCTGCTCTTATGGTGGCCTTTACCATCCCCTATGCCGAGCACTAAATTGGTCTAAGAGGCTGGAGGATGAAGCCACTTCTGTGGGCAGCCGTGGGCAGCCAGGAGGGCTGCACTAGTCTTGAGCAAGGTTGAGCCAAGAGGCTGAGAAGTATAAGCAGGAACCCTGACCATGGGAAATCACAAGTAGAGATGAGGACATGAGACATGCAAGGAACGTGAAGAGAAGCCTGAGTAGAGCTCCCGGCCAGAGTAAGGGTTTATGTGGTACTTAGTGTGCAAAGTGGTTGGAAAATGGGTTGGACTAACACAGCCCAGGACTTTCAGTTGTACTTTCAAGGTTTCAGGCCTTAACTGATGGGATGGAAGGAAGTCACAGAAGGTTTGGGGCAGGAGGAGTGACAATACTGAGGGAAATTGTCTGGGAAGTCTCATGGGTCCTCCTTGTTCAGGCACAAGTGAGGTAAGCAGGCACCCTGGGATGGGGGCTCTTCCAAGGGGGGGATGCTCAGTGACATTGCTTTTCACAGCCACAGCTCCAGAACAGGCCCCAGCCCCACCCCGGCCGTACCAGGGTGTCCGTGTGAAGGAGCCAGTGAAGGAACTGCTCAGGAGGAAACGTGGCCATGCCAGCAGTGGGGCAGCTGTTACACCTACGGCGGTGAGGGGCCCCTGTGGCCAGTGTGTGTGTGCGTGCATGTGTGTGTGTGTATTTGGCGGGGTGTCCAAAGGGGTTGGATGGGAGTATGCTTCCTTGCCCTATGAGATGCTCATTGAGGCCATGAAGCCAACACATCACCAGGGTATGGCTGCTGAAGGATGGACCTAAGATAGAACGAGTCAGTGGTCCCTGAAGTAGGGTGAGGGCTTTGGGTAGACTGGCTTGGCCCGCTGAAGACAGTTAGGGCCAGGGCCTGAGTGAGCAGATGAATCACACAATCCTGGCATGAGCTGGGGGCTCACCATGGGAAGAGGATGATGCCAGTTCCCTAAGTGCACAAGGTTCTTGCTAAATGGAAACATGAATCCCTCAAAAGTATGGGTGGTGATGGTTGGGGCACAGGGTGGGTGTTGTGTTCTAATAAGGAAAATTCTCCCATCCCTTCCTGCCCTGGGGACCTCTGGGCAAGTTTTTTGCACAGGGCTAGTTGGAGACAGCAGAACATTGATCCTAGTCTTCTCTTCTCCCTCTAGGTGGTGCTGCCCCATCAGCCCCTGGCCACCTACACCACAGTGGGTAAGAGCCCCCTATAGCCCTGGTCCCCTCTGTGCCCCTCATCCGGGTGACACCTGCAGTTCTGTAATTTGCTTCTTCCCACAGGTCCTTCCTGCCTTGACATGGAGGTCTCTGCTTCCACAGTGACAGAGGAGGGAGCCCTGTGTGCCGGCTGGCTCTCCCAGCCGGGCCCGGCCACCCTCCAGCCCCTGGCCCCGTGGACACCCTACACGGAGTATGTGTCCCATGAAGCTGTCAGCTGCCCCTACTCAGCTGACATGTATGTGCAGCCCATGTGCCCGAGCTACACAGTTGTGGGGCCCTCCTCCGTGCTGACCTATGCCTCCCAGCCGCTCATCACTAATGTCACGGTACGTCGCACAAAAGCTTTGCTGCACCAACCCATGCCAACTGCACCCTTTGGAACATAGGCTGACTTCCTGACCCCTGATCATTCTTGCTATTGATTTGCAGGATAACTGAGTCATTAGGCTCACCCTGTCCTGTAGGGCGGCCTGCTCTTCTCTCCAGTGATCTAAAATATCTTCCGCAAAGAAGGCTCATGGCCTCCCTTGTCACGCCTTGTATTCCTCAGGGTTGGGAGGTTCTCCAGCCTCTCTGCCCCATATCTCTCCTGCTGACCCCAAAGCAGCAAGTCTTGGTAGGAAGTTTAAGTTTTCAGGTTAGAGATCTCACGTGAGATCTGCATGGGGTCTTGTGCCAGAGCCAGCATTTTCTTTCTATTCAGATGGCCTAGGGGGTGATTGTTCACTGAACAATGGGATTTGCCAGATGATCTTAAGGCTAAGTAACAGGTGACACAACTTTTCAGAAAACTACTTTTTACAAAAGATTTATTTATTTTTAGAGAGAGAGAGAGAGAGAGAGAGAGAGAGTGTGTGTGTGTGTGTGTGTGTGTGTGTGTGTGATTGAGTATGTGAGTAGGGGAAAGTGTGGAGGGACAGAGAGAGAGTGTCCTCAAGCTTGGCATGGAGCCTGGTGTAGCCTGAGATCATGACCTGAGCGGAAACCAAGAGTTGGATGCTCAACTGACTGAGCCACCCAGGCACCCCAGAGAAGTCAGACACACCTGCAGGGTAATTTTTTTGAGTGCTGCCTCTAGCATCAGATTGCCTGGGTTCCCTTCATCCCTTCACTTAAGAGCTAGGAGGCCACAGAGCCCTGGTGCCCACATCTGTGAAATGAGAATACTGATAAGAGAGCTGATGTCAGGCTCCAGTGGGAGGGCACATGTGGAGGACTTAGCATAGTTCCTGGCAAACAGAAAACACTCCATAAGTGTTATTATGATTGTCTCAAAGTCGGCCAGCAGCATTAACTAAGGGCTTCCTTCAAGTGCCAGATAGGAAAAGAATGAAGGAAGAAAGGAAGATAAATAGTTTTATACGAGTGACACCTGTGTGAGCAAAGGAATGGGAATCCCCTAAGTGTTCAGAGAAGGAAAGCTCCGTGGGAGTAGCCATATCCAGCTGCAGTTCAGGGTAAACTGTGGGAGGTGGAGCTGGGGCCTCATGAGTAGCTGCAAAGCCCACGTTGATGATGGAGTTTGCTTTGGTTCCTTGCCTCCTGTCCATTTCCCTCAAGAGTTGAGTGTCATCCTAATGCACCTGCCTTTTCATCACCATCCAGCCCAGGGCCCACAGAAGCCCTCCTGCCCTCTGCCCCCTGGCTACCCAGCAAACCGGTTGTGGGGCCTACATGGTGGTACTAGGAAGGAGTGCCTTCAGCACCTTTCCCAAGCAACTCATTTCCATATCGGGGGCCTTGGGTGGGGGAAGGAGGTGGAAGATATAACTGTTCCCAGTCATTTCAACCCCAAGGATTTCTTTCATTATTTACCTTTCATTATCTCCACCTCCTACTTTGAAAGGTTCTGTGTATTAAACAGACTGTATTTATTAAGAAATAACTTATTTGTTTTGCCACTTTGTAATTAACTCATCAAAGCTGGTTGGAGCTACCAGTCAGCACCCCTGATGAGCAGGAGCTAAGACCTGTTGTAGCACTGGGTTGATGGAATTCCATCGCTGAGTAAAGAAACCTGCAATTACAGGTGACCTGCATGGGTTTATGACTCAAAAAAGTAGGATTTCCATTTGGATTTTTGAAGAACTGGAAATTTTAAGGCTTTGCTGGGAAGCTGGAAGGCCTCTGAGACCCTTTCCAGCTCTACCATTCTGTAGGAAAACACTGTAAGCCTTGTTACTCCAACTATGGTCTCTGGACCAGCCACACTGGCATCATCAAGGATCTGAGTGGACTTGCAGAATCCCAGGCCCTACCCCAGCCCTCCTGGACCAAAATCTGCATCATAACAAGATTCCCAGGAAACTGACATAAACTCTTCCTGAAATGACTCTAATGGTTTACTCTCAAAACACAGTGGCAACCAGACAGAGATAGGATGGGGGAACGAGGGGCAGTGGGGCTGGGGGGTTTGGGCCTCTCTTACATCATTTCATGCAGAGACCTTCTTCCTCCACCTGCTTCCTCAGCTGTAGAAGATAGGAAGGACCCAGGCCCTTCTCTCCTGCAGGCTTGACCTCAGGTTTGTAGTGTGGTAGCTGCACAGGTGAGAGGCATTGTTTGCAGGGCACCTGAGAAAATGACCCTGAGAGAGCCATGGGGGTCCAGCTCAGAGATATGAGGACGAGGAAGTGGAAGGCGCCGGGAAGCTTTAAGGAAAGGCTAGTTCACTAACACAGTAGTGCTTCCCCAGCCTCTAGGTCTGCTCAGAACAGGAGGGAGGTGAGTGGGGCTCTGTTGGCCTGGATGGATCTCAGGATGTCAAGGCTGCCATAGGGAGCCAGGGAGCCAGGGCCGTCTTTGTGTCTAGGCCTGCCAGTAGCCAGCCACCTTTGGGATATGGCTACCATGCCAGGGGACAGGCTTGTTAACATGCTGTACTTTCACTGATTTTTAAGATGGACATTTCTCCCCACCCACATTTTAATATCTTTGAAAATGGGATGCAATTTATATTCAATAAAACCTGGAAAAGCATCTCTAATCAGCTCGGCCCAAGGGTGTCTGTTCTATAGGTAACTCTGTACAGAAGAAAAATGGACACCTGGGGAGGTGGTGTGAGCAGGGACATGCAGCTGGTGAGGGATAGAGTCAGGGACCCAGCTCAAGTCTGTGTGGCTTCTGGGGGAGACTGAGCAGGTGGAGACAACACCAGGACAAGGATAGGCAAGGCCAAGGGGGTCCCCAGCACTGCTAACCCTTCATCCTGTGTCTTCCCATCACAGACGAGAAGTGCAGCTGCACCCGCGGTTGGGCCCCAACTGGAGGGCCCGGAGCACCAGGCGCCCCTCACCTATTTCCCGTGGCCTCAGCCCCTGTCCACTCTGCCCACCTCCACCCTGCAGTATCAGCCTCCGGCCCCAGCCCTGCCTGGGCCCCAGTTTGTCCAGCTGCCCATCTCCATCCCTGAGCCAGTCCTTCAGGACATGGAAGACCCCAGGAGAGCCATCAGTTCCCTGACCATCGACAAGCTGCTTTTGGAGGAAGAGGATGGTGATGCCTACGCACTCAACCACACGCTCTCTGTGGAGGGCTTTTAGGGCATGCTCCTGAGAATCCTGTTCCCTGAAACTGGTATTTAAAACAGGGAACAAGATTCACATCTCTTTGGAGTAGCCATTTTATGACTACACTTTGCATTCCAAACTAGAATGATAGACTTTCCTTCCTCCCTCTTCTCCCTCCTCCCTGCTCCCTCTTTCCCTCCTCCCTCTCTTCCTTCCCTCCTTTGTCCTTCCCTCCCTCCCCTCTTCATTCCTTTTTTCCTTTCTCATTTCTTTTTCCATTTCAGCTCCTTTCTGAGAAGAAATTATAGGGATTTAGTGGTAATATTGACACCAGTGTTGCAGACCTATGACCCAGGTGCTTTTACTTCTGCCTCAGTTCATCAATTGGGACAGCAGCCCCACTGAGCTGGGGGCCAGCAATGCCCTACCATCTGTCACTTTAAGATGGATGGGGTGTCCTACCGCCCCTCCAAGGGCAGACCCAATGCCAGAATCCTTGAGCTGTCAGTTCACATGGTGGCCCCTTTGCTGTTCTCAGACTTAGAGTGTCAGGCAGCAGAGTCTCAAGGCCTGGGGTTCAGTGAGGTGGTGGGGGTGAGGGTCCTGGGGGTGGGTAGGGTCTGGATCAGGGGACAGAGGAGGGAGGGGAACAGGTGTGTGTGTGCCTATGGGGGGGAGGGGGAGGAAAAGATTGGGTGGAGAGAAAGAGGGTCCAAGGAGCCATTCTGCTCCAGATTACTTGATGATTAAGGAGAATAAACTTAAGAAAAATATCGGTTTAATTGGTGGTTTTGTTTTTCTCCTTGAGGATCTTGCAAGGAAAGCTGGGCTCTTATACTCAGGAGAATGAATAGGTCTGTGCTTCTTCCTCTGTGCATACCTTCCATGGGGCTTCTGCGGGGGTGGGGGGGGGTGGGGTGGGGGCAGAGCCATTGAAGCCCAGGGGTGACTGGATCCTCACTTAGTGCTGCCATATGCTTCTTGTGTGTTTTAAAAAACTCCACAAGCCAACATTGTGTGGAGTCAAGGCCTCTTTCCTAAGCACCATCCTTCCTGGGGGATTCTAGAGCCTCTCTCTAGTAGTACTGCGAGGTTTCATGTTGATTTTTTTTTTTCCCTGGGGAAACATCTGATTTGCAGATGCTTGCACACAGTTGTTGTCCGTGGGGTGCTGAGCGGCTGACAGCAGCCCATCTGTCCACTTAAACCAGTGTCAGCAATAGGCAGACACGTTAGTTGGTGGAGTCTATGTAGGAGCAATCAACTTTTCTCAGAAAACGGTTTCTTTGACACATTTTCTTTACCATTTTAAATAGAAACTCTAGAAAGTTGCCTTTGATTGGATTTTTCTCTGCTTTGTGATTATTCTGACCCAAATTTCTCAGTATCTGCCTAAAATCCCAATCTTGATTTATTTTTGTCAGACTTAATATTTAGATTTAAAAGGTTAAAACTTCAGATAACAAATTTATATCTTTGTTGGTAGAGACGGTGAGTAGGCAAAGGAGAGGGCCTGTTTGGTTTCCTATAGAAAACACTATCCAAGAGTTTTCAGCTTATTATTTGAGGGTTTGAGATGATGCAGGAGCAATCTCCATAGGGAGTTTGAGCTGGTAAGAACTAGCAAAGAAATTAAGTACTTTAAGTATCTGCTAAGATTTAAATGGTGACTTTTTTTTCCTCCTTATCTTGAGGTAAAAGGTCTTGGTTGTAATAGTCTCTCTAGGTTTCTTCCTGGGTTTTCCTGCTAAGCTGGAAACATTTTAATAAAGATTCAATCAGACTTCTTTTTTTGCCAAAGTGTTTTATTTCTTATCATATTAATCCCCCTTAGCTTGCAGTTCCATGTCAGGCAGGGTGATTGTAGGCAGGAGCTTACATGAGTCTTGTTGACTTTGCAACTTGATCTACTGCAAGGGAAGATGCAACTGGCCCCACTTGCCTGCTGGTCGGGTCCTGTGGGGCCGGGGGCGGGTGTGTGTGTGTGTGTGTGTGTGTGTGTGTGTGTAACATGCCAGGCCAGTAGGCTTGTTCTCCAGGATAGCAGGAATCTGAGGCAATGAAGGAAACATTTTAACCCAATTGCTCTTCTTGTTATTCATGTTACATGGGTAAATTCTCATGATGCTGGGTGTGCCAGAGGTAAGTTTGACCACTGGTGTTTCCATCTGTCAGAACCTAGGGGCATGTGACACAATGAAGAGTGCTATGCCCAAAGGAAACCCGTCTCTCAGGGCCAGACATCACAATGAAATGGAAATTCAAGAAGCCTGCCAGTCCCCTCTGACATGAGTCCTTGGAATGAGTAACAGGTTGGAAAGGTCTCCTTTTCTTGTGATTGTCTGAGTTACTACAACTTCTGAGTTCACTGTTTTCACTGTTAATCTCCACTGGGGTAACTTTTTTTTAATAGTCCACTTTATTCTGTCATATATCTTGTTTCCAGATTTTGGGGGACAATAGTACATCCAACTATTTGGCTCCCTTTAGATTAAATTATCACCACTGTTGTCTTTTTTCTTATTCTCTATGTAGATCATAACCCAGAAAAAAGATGTGGAAGGAAAGGTACTTGAGGTTTTTCTTCCTCTCTGGTTTTGCCAAGGCTCAATGGTAGAGGAAGATCTTTTAAAAATGCATTTTGCATTTCTCACCAGCTTTCATGATGGAAGTGTGAGCCACTTGATCTGCAATGTGGAAAATGTGGCTAGCTTGGTCGTGGTGGGTGCTCTCCGGATTGTGATCCATGAAGCTGCCCATTTCTAGCATGAAAGAGGCAGCAAGGAGATGAGTGCATGGTAAGAAAAAGAAGCTAGGCATCTACAAAATTATAACCTTGCCAAGAAGCTCACATTCTCTGATCGTTCATCTGCACCCATCTCTAAGTGGAAGTAGGAGACACATTCTAAAGCTAAACATGAATTTCTTTCCTATTTTTTAACACGAATTTCTTGAAATCAGAAATCATAAGTATTTTGCAGTAACTTACTTTGCGAGTCAGATATGAGGCACTCAGTAATTCCTCATTGAATTCAATTATGTTCCATTAAAGGAATACTGAGATGGATGATGCAGTTGATTATAGTGAAGCCACCTTTCTTAGACTCATAGACACAGATGCCTCTCTAATGCTTCCCCCCTCCATGAATGCTTGGATAGAAACTTCCATAAGCTGGTATTCTTAATCTATTTATTAGTTCTTCCATGTACAGCTATGGCTTCTGTGGAAGGGCTTTAAAATTTTTAATTAATTTTGTTAAGAACACTCAACTTACTTCCAAGTATACCATACAGTATTGTTATCTATAGGCACAATGTTATACATCAGATCTCTAGAACTTACTCATCTTGCATAACTGAAATGTTATACCCACTGATTAGCAACCCTCTTTCCCCCTCCACCTAACCCTTGGCAACCACCATTCTATTCTTTGCTTCTATGAGCTTGACTATTTTAGAAAAAAACTCATATATGTGGAATCATGCAGTATTTGTCCGTCTGTAACTAGCTCATTTCACTTGGCATAATGTCCTCAATGGAGAAAGAAAATGTGGCATACACATACAGTCAGTGGATTTTATTTAGCCTTAAAAAAGGCAATCCTAAAATACATGACACCATTGATGAAGGGGTTCATTCAGTCATTGAATCTGTCATTGAGTGGCAACTCTGGGCTAGGCAGGCATCACGAATTATTATAGATTTCTGCTTTGAAGGAATTTTCTAGATCAGTGATCTATTTTGGTATGCATGCCCATCCCTCTACATGTTTATTTAATTATTTATAAGTTATATCCCTGAACTACTCTATGAATATTCATTATAAAACAGTCACAATAGAAATTTAAAAGATGAAGTAAATATAAAATAGAAAATATTTTAATTATTCTCATTTATTAATGGTATAAAAGTTCTTTTAACTTCATTCACTATAAATAATATTTAGAAGGAGAAATATTATTGAATATGCCTGATTGATTTTTAAAGTCTTTGTGATACTCCAATTTGAAGATCTGGGTCTAAGTCCAATTGACAAAAGTATTTTGTTTGAGTGTATGTCATAACTGAAAAAAGTGCCATGCAAAGATACTGAGATCCAAATAAAAATAGTATACCATTGGCTGTGCTAAAGGAATTACAAAAATCATTTCATAACTCCTTCCATTGGTTTTGCAAAGATATTATTTTTAAATCTGGCTAGTAAATTGCCATTTTAGCTCACATCAACTAGACTGAAAAGCTCATTGAGGATGCTGCCTTTTCATATTTTTAACACACTGAGTTAAAAACCACTCAAAATCTTTGCCAGGTAAATTCTTAAGCAAGCTCAAACATTCTGCTTCTAATTAAAAAAAAAAGTATGAAGATAGAGTTTTCACAAGTGCCACACATCTATATTGTAATTGTTAACCACAGTATCACATAATGATGTCTATATTCCTAAATATTTACTAAACTCTCACTTCCTAAATGTTTTCCCCATTACATGAGTTTCTAAAAGCATCATTAAAATGTCATCTTTGCCTCGATGGGCTGATTAAATGTGATTGTGTTCGTTATTTTTTTTAAAAAGTCTGCAGGTAGCATATTTTGGACAGTCAACGAAAAAAGAATAGCAAATTTAGTATGATTATATTTTTAAAAATATACATAATTTGGTTTTTGGTTTGACAGTTCTTTGGAGTCTTTGGCCATGAGATAATTGGTGATTGTCTTTGTGGTGCTAGAGTCTCACACCGTTAAGAAGACTGTATCATTGAAAGGTGTTGTGTCTATAACATTAATCACACTGGATTACCATCCTGTAAAACTTACTACATTGCAATAGATGGAAGTGAATGTACTTAGCAAGGCCCCACCATCACACTTTCTCCCACTCAGAGCTTGCTCTTGTCTCTTGGAGCACTCTCAGACCCATGGGTCACACAACTAAGTTTGAGTGCCAGCCAGCATTAGTCCATGCTGGGGTGACAGTTCATCTATGATTGAGCACTGAAGATCAAGAGTTCCCAAAAATCTTCCATCTAGAGCAAGCTGGGACATTTTGTCCCCCTAGTCCACATATTTAATACAAGTAGATTTAGTTTCTTTTTTCCCTCATAAATTGGGGTTTTTAAAAAGATTTTATTTTATTTATTCATGAGACACAGAGAGGGGCAGAGACATAGGCAGAGGGAGAAGCAGGTTCTCTGTGGAGAGCCCAATGCAGGACTCGATCCCAGGACCCCAGGATCATGACCTGAGCCAAAGGCAGGTGCTCAACCATTGAGCCACGCAGGTGCCCCAAATTAGTAGTTTCTTTCTGTGCCCCAATGGATTGTCTCATGTGATCCCTAAGATACATATGTCCCACTTTAGAGCTTGATTGAAAGATTCTTGCTTGCTGGAGTTGTCACTTAAAGCTCCCATGGGGACCTCTCAAGGAAAGCTGGCTCTGGCCTGAAGAACCTTGCCACTACTGTTCTAAGTCAGTACTAGTCTGGAAATATCAAAATGATGTTTCT